GCGTTCTTGAACCAACAGATGACATATGTCCTTCTTAACTGCTGGAGCTAAGTGGAAGAATGATCCCCAATTCAATCCGACAACCGGAGCATCTCGAAAAGCCCCTACAAAGTCAAACTGTTCTTGGCCGGCCATCATCCGAATCGGTTTCCGCTTTGGATTTCCTGTTTTTCCAGTATGCTCTCCCAACATAACAGATGCTTCATCGGTCAAACAATCATCCTCACCTTTATTTCCTGCTGACATTTTATGCACAAACTTCATATAATCTGGAGTGGTTGATTCTGTCGAAGAGACCTCACGTACCTTCATTCCCTCCAATGCAGATGACCTTCGTGCAACTTCAATAACACTCACTGGCTTTTGTGAACTCTCTCCAGGAGTACCACTACTACCAGCTGGCTGACCCTCTCTTTGTCCCTGAAGACTGTTCATAGGGTAAGATGTTTACAACACTGGTGGATAGGACATACCTTGCAGTCTTGGACATTGTGGATGCAGATGCCCCTCTTCTTGACAATGGTAACAAACTTGAGGACGAGCTGGGTAATAAAGCCTTCCATTTGGACCAACGATTGGCTGTAAGGACACTCTCTCAGATTGACTATGCAGACCACTAGTATAACTTGTAGATTGCTCTAAAGTCCTAGGTTTGCCTGCAGTCCACGAGCTCTGATGACCTGAAACTTGACCGACTTGCTGCATTGAATAGTTATCTCCCGGAATACCTGAATACTGAAAAGGCTGCCGTGGTTGACTTCGACGATTGCGAAACTCGCCCGGATGGAACTCCCGTGAAATACCTGGAGGTTGCTCATAGCTATATCGATTTGACTGCGAACCGTTTCTATATCCACTTGTCACCGCATAGTTATCCAAAGCAATTATGTCCTCATCAACTTCACAAGACGATTTAGATTCTCCACTCACCACGGTCCCTTTTTGCAGTCTCATTAGATCCTTCAACATCTCCCTTAACTCCTTGACTTCATCTTGGACTGACTCTGCCTTTGCAACAGATTTTCCCTTTGATACCTTCTTATCCTTTCTTGCAGGGCTTTTTCCAGACCTCTTCAATCTTGCTTGAGTTTTTGATGGCCGATAATACTCATCCTCATCTGCCTCAGACTCACTTTCAGATTGATCACTTTCATCAGACTCACTATCATCAGTTTCATCATAGTCCTTGCGTCTGCTGCCTGTGGTCTTCTTGTATCCCTTTATCTTGAGCTGGGTAGCAAGCCTCATTACTCTATTGACAACTTGGTGTGGACTCTCACCCATGTCTCGACTCAGATAGGTCATAATTGCCATTTCTCGCAAACGCTGATTTCCTATACCATCAATATAGTAATGAATCAAAACCCTGTCAAACTGATCAAAGTGAGCTGGCCTCTTGCGTAGCAACCGAAGAACTTTCTTTGAGTAAGCAAAAACATCTCGATTTCCCTGCTTGAGGGTACTCATAGCTGAAAGAATCTCCTCATTGGCCTGAGCTCCACTTTCAGAATCATCAAATTGGTTTCTCAGATTATCGATCAAGGATCTCTCATCCCACAAGACATCCTCTGGAAGTTGGCGAAGGAAACGACCTGCACTAGACCGGATCGGACAAGCAATATGGATTTGAGCAACTCGCCTTTTCTGGGACTCAGGAGTTCTTCCATCAAACTCTTCTCCCATTGTCGCAAACCATGATTCCATCCATCCAAGAAAGTCCTTTATGCCGATCCCATTCTCACCTGTAAACACAATACTGGGTGGACATGAAAGACCCATTTTCTCAAATAAGGGGAGGGGGACAAGACAAGCAAACAAGCAGACTCACTATGTAGTACCAGGCAGCACAAGTTCAAGAACCGACAAATATAGATTGCACAGGTGGGCAAGTTGTCCAGGTATCAAACACCAATCTGTTTCAGAGCACCACTTGTGGAAGTGTCTCGGTTGTCTTCCGGATTTTGGATGGTGTGATTGACCGAGCTGACACCTGTGCAATTGTGGTAACCGTACAATGTAATATTCGATCGGATAAGAGTGTAGACTTATGCTGATAAAGTTGACAGTAAAACACAGTGAGAAAGCAAGCGAAAGGAGTGGGGAAAACAGCACCCAGAAACAACAGTAAAGAAGGTGGTGGTGTTGGTTGTACAGGATGGGTTCTCACTGTCTTGTTCCTCCGCTCTCTCTGAGGAAGGCAAGGCCATGCCTCCAGGTGAAAAACAGCCACCTGCTAAGCCTCATCCCAAACAGAAAATTCTATGGGCAAAAACCCAGCAAACATGACCAGAAAACCCCCAAAACCTTCCTCGCACCACACCGGTACGAGCATTACTCGAGTACGCCATGCGTGGCACAAAGAATTATATCAGTATCCCTCCCGCTGCTACTGCACCTCCGCCCCATTACCAGTCCCTTAGGCGAAATCGCCGTACGAGTACGGTAAACACAAAGGAGGGGGGAAAAAGCAAGATTTTTGCAGTAGCCCCTCTGCCCTAACCCCCTCCTTCGGACCTTCTCCCGACTGATGGGGAAGAAGGAGGCTCTTTTCGCCAAGAACTAATTCACCCCTCACACTTGAAAAGTTCGAGTTGGTATGATACCCCACCATGATACAATAATCTGAGAAGAAAAGAAAAAAAATTTCCTCCGCCAAAAACCAAAACTTCTAGAGCATTACTCCGCAAATGGCCAACACCTACAGAATCGTGGTTTTCGAAGGTTCGTTTCCGGCGCTCCGGATTTCAGAAGTTGGGGGATCTGGCTAATTGAACTCCGCGTAGGTGACCATTGTGGTCCGGAGGTTACCAAGGAGGCTATTAAGGTTTGACTTCTGGGGATGGGATGGGATGGGATGTGGGATACGAGGCTTATTGTGGTATCATGTGTACCGGTAGGTCCTCAAAGTGGTCGAGCAACATTCTAAGGCCAAGTTTGATTTTCAAAACCACCTTCTTGGTGGTGTAAGTTTTCCCAGCACTCCTCTACAGTACAATCCTAATGATCGATTGATTGAGCATGGCTAAAGGGCAGACCAGGCCTCAATCGATGCAACCGGAGAGCCCCTCACAGACAAAGCCCTCGAGGCTGCTAAAGCTGCTGACGCAGTTCTTCTGGGAGCAGTCGGTGGACCTGTACGTTCACTTTTTTTTTTTTTTACCACTCTCCTAATACTCGGGGTTGAATCCGCTGACAGAACTCAGAAATGGGGAACCGGTAAAGTGCGCCCAGAGCAAGGTCTCCTCAAGCTCCGCAAGGAAATGCAAGCATTCGGAAACCTCCGACCATGCAACTTCGCCGCAGAGGTCCTCGTCAAGCTCTCCCCATTGAAGGAAGAAGTCTGCCGCGGCGTCGACTTCAACATCATCCGCGAGCTCACTGGGGGTATCTACTTTGGTGACAGGAAGGAGGATGAGGGCGATGGGATAGCTTACGACACCGAGCCCTACTCTCGCCCCGAGATTGAACGTATCGTCCGTTTGGCGGCACATCTGGCTCTACAGGTCGATCCTCCGTTGCCAATCACCTCGTTGGACAAAGCAAACGTTCTAGCCACCAGCAGGCTCTGGAGAAAGACCGTCGATGAGATCCTTGGCGGGGAGTACCCGCAGATTAAGTATCAACACCAGCTGATCGATTCGGCGGCCATGCTGATGGTTAAGGACCCCCGTGCCCTGAACGGGGTCATTGTCACGAGCAATCTTTTTGGAGATATCATAAGCGACGAGGCGAGTGTGATCCCCGGCAGCTTGGGGCTTTTGCCAAGCGCTAGTTTATCCGGTGTTCCGGATGGGAAGACGAAGGTGAACGGGATTTACGAGCCTATTCACGGGTCCGCTCCAGACATTGCTGGAAAGGGTGGGTTCTCTGGTGCCAGAGGACGCAATGATTGATTGCTGACAGCGGTATAGGAATTGTTAACCCTGTGGCTGCTATCCTTTCCTGCGCAATGATGCTGCGTTATTCTTTGAATATGCGTAGCGAGGCTCTGGCCGTTGAAGAAGCCGTCCGCACAGTTCTTAATGACGGTTTCGGGACCGGTGATATCGGCGGAACGTCCACAACCTCCGAGCTCGGTGACAAGATCGCAGGAGCCTTAAACTCCCTCCTTGGCGGATAGGAGGCCGAGGTGCACGGGCTGGAACTAAATCCCGATATTACCGATTACGGCCCCCTAAAACCGGGCCATCCCCATGTTTATAATAGTCTAGATTCGAGATTCCACCACTCAATGCTCTATTGCTTCCCGTGAAGAAAATGTGTTTTATTTTGTTCCCGTTCCCGTTTTTTTTTACAAAAAAAAGAGTTTCCGTAATAACCATGGTATCCCGCGCACCCGAAAAAAAAAACAAGCCAACCCTTGATGTAAAGATATTTATAGTAAACATTGTTCATACAAACTACCTCAACTCTAGTTCCGTCAACATTTGCCTAGAGGTGAAAGGCACTTCATCAGAGTTGAAGCTCCGTCTATACACAATTAGCTTTATGTGCTACCCTAATTCCTCGGGGATACACATACGGCTCAGCGGAGTAAATCCGCAACCCACGAACATGGGTATCTTTACCATTCTGATGATTCGCATGAATGCATACCTGTATGAGGAATGTCCTCAACTGGCCACTTTGTAAATTGTCAGCACACACTGTAAAAGCCCATTAAAATCAGACACATACTCCTCATGCACCCCATCAAGGGGGACATCAATCCACCCGCTCGGCTGCTCGAAATTCATGGTCGTAACTTCCTGCAAATCGTGGTACCCCGTTCCCGAAAACACGGACATGCGGGTAGGAGTGTAGGACTCGTCGTTTTCAAAGTCGAGGTACATACTGATCTTCTTGACGAAGACCCGTTTCGCAAAGTGGATGTTTATAGTGTGCGGTTGCGGCCCATCCGATCTATTGCAAAAGAAAAAGAAAAAAAGATAAAGTTAGATAAAAATGTACGAGAAAAAGGTGAAGTGCAAGGGGAAACAAACTGCCAGAACAAATTAGTATCCTCATCCCGTAGCTGCTCGACTCCATTACCAGGCTTCGCGGTAGAGACAGTCCAGCTAGCAAGATTGCCGATCTCTTTTAGACCTTCTGTTGACGATTCCGGCACTGTTCTCATGATGCGTGGTTAGCCGTGGTGCAAGGTTTTCTCCAACTTGATGGTAGGTAGGTGGGTAGGTGGGTAGGTAGGTAGGTAGTGTCGCACTTGCGCTCTCAACCGTTGGTTCCTCGTCGTCGTTCAAATCATCGTCGTCGTCGTCGTCGTCGTCGCCGTCGTCCCCTTCCTCCTGCGAAATAGTCTCCTCAATAGACTCGTTTTCCGAGGCAACCGGCGACGGCTCCCGGACAGGCTGTTGGCGGGCTCTTGATCGTGGCGGCATTGTTGGATTGACCTGAGCTTACTCGAGTACACCCGCACAGTTGTTGTTGAGCTAACAAGAGAGCTGTCATGGCATGGGATGGGAAGACGCGTTGTGGGGCAACCAAGACCCCGCCGATCACGTGCTTGTCACACAACCTCACTCGGATTCCCTTCTTTGTCAAATCCACGCGTGATCTACAAGTACGAGTACCATACACAGTGGTGGCGACCGCGAAAAAAAAATATCTATGGTATTCTCTTCGTCACCTTTTTTTTTTTCCTCTTCTTTCTATGTTCTTCCTTCCTCCCCCGATTAGAGAACAAAGGCAGGCCCACCAGTTGGAATTGTTTCTTCGGCCGAGTCGGCTCCCGCCGACGGGAATGCTCTCATTTGAAATGTCTGGCCTGGGCAGCCTTACGCAAGCGACTGGCTGAGTGACTGATTGAGGCTGCGAGCACCTTCCAGACGGACATACTTGTTCCATCAACCCCCGCCACGGAAAACTCGTAAGCTCCTGTTGAGGGAAGCCACAATAGGATATTTAACAGCCATCACCAGCAGCCGCACAAGCAAGCAGCATGTCGGGAAAAGCAAACGAGATGCCGCTAAAAACTCAAGAGCTTGGAGAGGTGGAAGCGATTGGGAAGCACTGCGACCTTCCGGAATGCCATTTGCTGGACTTTCTACCGTTTAAATGTGAGTCTTGCGGCGGGTATGTTTTTTCCCCTCCCCTCCCCATCATTGCTAGCATCCCGCTCTGTCTGGAATACTGACGAGGGGGGATGGGGTAGAACTTACTGCCTCGACCACCGCACCGAAACTTCCCACAAATGCGCCCAAGAAGGCCGCTGGGCTGCTGCACGTCGTGAAAAGAACTTTTCCTCTTCCCCCACTGCCCCGGCAAGCTCCAAAATCCGCAGTCTCCTGCAGACCAACTGTGCCCACCCCAAATGTAAAACGGTAATAAACACACCCCGCGACCCCGCCGTGAACTGCACGACCTGTCAGAAGCAATACTGTCTCTCCCACCGCCTGCAAGACCAGCACGACTGCGACAGAGTCAAGCCCCCACCGCCCACCGTAGCTACAGCCAACGAGAAGGCAAGGACCGCGCTATCCCGCTTCAAAGCGTGGACTTCTTCCAAATCCGATAAAGTCATACAATCAACCCGCCCGGGTGCCTCGCAGATCGCGGAATTGAATAAGCTCAAGCGTGCAGCTAAGGGCGACGACAAAGTCCCTGTCGGAAAGCGCGTGTACCTGTATGTTGAAGCGGAGGCTAGGACGACCACTTCGAAGCTGCCTCGGGGGGAGTTCTACTACTCAACGGAATGGACCGTGGGCAGGGTGCTGGACAAGGCGGCGCAGAGCCTGCAGGTCGCAAATCTGAACAACAAGGCTGATGACGATGAGAAGAAATTGAGGGTTTTTCATATCGAGAGTGGGAGAGTGTTGAGTTTTGGGGAGAAGATTGGGGATGCCGTGGTGAACGGGAATACCATTGTTCTGCTGAGGGGGTTGCGGATGCCCGAATTGATGGAATAGTTTGGGCATTGCTCGATATTTTGCCCTGCTGCATTGGGAGTTTGTTTGTATTGTGTGTGCGCTGTCGCCCGTTTGCGTGCGTGTGAGTGAGGTATTGCATCATAGAGGGTTTGCGTCTTTACTCGCTTGGTTGCTTGCTTGGGTTACTGTGTTGACTTTCTTTCTCGGACTGTGTGGATCCCCTATGAGCGCTATTTGCGGGACATCATGTGGAGTGGTTTATTTTTGTCTGCTATGAATATGCAACTATTCCCGGAGATTCTTTGAAGTGTCTTCTGCTGTTTTTGGTGCTGGGCCATGTGTGGCTTGATAACCCATTTCTGATCTCATACTTGACCATGTCATTCACCAAATCTTTCTCCTCCGAGGCGGCGGGTTGCTCCACCGGTTTATAGTCCGGGTACCCTGTTAGAATGCTCCACTAGTACTACGGTATCCCAGCAATATCTTATTGAGAGCCCTCCAGGTCTGCAATACCGTGCTCCTAATCGGTATGAAGCCGGGCGGAGCTTCGGAAGCTCAGTCCATGCATCTCCCCCTCCCAAAGGAGAAAGAGCAATATATCGTACTCCGGGCATCCATTCTCTCGAGCCCACTGAAATTTGCTTTGTTATTTTAATATTCGGATTGGCTAGCATATCAGGCTGGATGGCGCAACGGTAGCGCGTCTGACTCCAGATCAGAAGGTTGCGTGTTCAAATCACGTTCCGGTCATTCATTTTTATTACTACTGCTGCCCCCCCCTCAGTTCCTCCTCTCTGGCTGCTTCACGACCGGTGTTCTTTTTTTTGTCGTGGTTATTGGCCCCCAGAGCTTATGCCATAACTGGCAAGGACTGATGTATATGATACCAGCGTGGCCAGTCCATGATTTTTCGGGGGGGGGCCTTCTTATAATCATAAGTTTTATCGCAAACTCTCATATCCCCTTTTCAAAACCCAGGCACCGGTAACCGGCCAAGGAGGGGATGGTCCGAGGCCGAGAACAAGGAGGAGATATGCAGAACAATAGAAAGAGGATAGGTTGATTTGTTGCTTGTCTGCCTGCTTTGCCCTTTTTTCCTCTCCAGATGTATCATAATATTGTACCTCACTTTTACGAATAACGAGCCTTTACATGTAATTAGTAATATTATGTACAAGTATCACAGTAAAGATAGTTGGTGAACAGTTAATCTTGCTTAACCCGGAGAAAATAACCCCCCCCCCTTTTACCATATCATATCAAAACATCTCCCTCCCCCCCCCCCCCCACTTCCGCGGGCACCTTTTGCATCGATTATCACTCTTGACATATCTGTATCGTATCTACGACAATGTTATGATATTATAATGCTTATTGCCGCTATAACGGGAATGGTAGGTATTGGTATTATTGGGCTCCCTCTGTCGATATGGGAATGTTGGCGAACGTGGGAATGTTGGAGGACTGGATATATCTATACATATACTGTACATATCGATTGTTAAAGATAGCTGCCGGTCCGGTAAAGTAGTGAGTGAGTGAGTGAGCAAGTGAGGTGAGATGGTGTATCATAAGGGTTGACTTTGGATTCCATTTCGTCTCTGATGGTATGATAAGGTAAAGTACGGTGTCATAGTATCCATCGTAAAGGCGGATAAATAGATAGTAACACTTCTTTCCTTCCTTCCTTCCTTCCTTCCTGGGGGAAATGGTGGTCCCGGTCAGGAAGGACTTATGATAAGTTATTTTGTTTTGTTTTGTGTGATATCAGGCCTACTTCAGTTCGGTATCATAGTCGATTGCGCATTAGCCCCCCCACAAGAGATGAGTACTGGCGGTTCGGGAAACAGTGCTCTGTATGATATTATAAAACATACAAATTGGATCCCCGGTGATCTATAGGTCGTGGTGCGTGGGTGTCTGCCTACTGGCAGAAAGGCTTTGTTATCATACCATGCACTGTGCACGTCGAAATTGGAAGCTTGGCGGGAAGTCGGGATGAGAAGGTATCATAGGTGTAGCCTACGGGTGAGTGAGTGAGTGAGTGAGTGGGGAGGGATGATATAACGTGGGTTTCCTTGGTTCCTAAATTTTACTAGTGGGCAACTGCGGTATCATACGGTTCTTGTGTCGGTTCGGTTTAGGTTTTTGCTTTCAATGTGGAGTTTTGGGCGGGTAATATGGGGTTAGTCGAAGGAGAGGCCTAATAGGAGTATCATATCATACAGTAAGCATCATAGTTATTGAGCCGTATCATACCATAGCCTATTCGTGATGTCTCCTACTCGTGCCCTACCACCAAATATAGTAAGCTTTCAATGCTATCATATCGCAGCCGGTGGATATTTATTATAACATGCTATGATAGATCGCAGAAAATTCAGCACCCCCACCACAGCTCGCCCGAGTCAGTACGATAATTAAAGAAGGGTTCTGAGTGCTGTTACAATCCTTCAAAACATATCATCATACCCTTCACCAATCAAGTCAAACCCGTCACTTTGTACGATATGCCACTCACCCAGAAGCCGATTCCGCAAGACTGAAAGGGTCCAGGCAAGGTCGCTGGACGTTCCCCCTTTACAACCCTAACTGCCACTCTTCGCTCCATTCAGATACACTGCAACTTTATATCATACATAGCGGCATGCCATCCGTACTCTGTGCATGTATTCTTGAAATCTAGCGGAAATTATTATTGGCGTTGTAGCAGCCGCCTAGCGGTTAGGGGTTAGGGGTTATATATTATATACCTACTTGCCACCGGTTTGCTGAGGGGGGTTATCCCGATATCAATGTCCCGCGGCGATAATTTAAGGTTCGTATATAAGTGGACAAGCAAACATCGCCGGGAAAAGGTGCAGTGTATCATGGTTCTTGACCAACGAAACTGTAGCGGCGGGTCGGGGGGTTCGGGGGGGCCGGGCACGACTTTCATGGTCAGTGGTTTATGGCGGGAGCGTAGTAGCCAGTTGAGCTGGGGTATGCCCCTTGAGAAGGAAGGGGGGGTTACTTTCATATTAGAATCAGAATACGATGCCAGTGTACTAAAGCCCGGTATTTATTTATTGTTTCCTTTTTTTCTCGGAGGATGGTGAGATATTGTGAGAGCTCCGTACGCTCTTATCATACGATTCTGAGGTCGCGTTTATGATATGATACAACATCACTAGCTTGTCTTGGCTTTGGCTAGGTTTGGGCTCTGGCCCGCGAGTAGCTTTGAGTTACAGGCAGTGAATTAAATTACTGGTAGTGTCATGGTACGCATACAAAAGGCGACGGCTTGGGAGTACATAGGAACTCTCGTATACTCCGCTTCACAATGGGTGGCCGGCGTCCCCAAGTGTTCATTCAATGAAACCGTCACGGTCACACTCGCAAATATTCATCAAAACCCCGGCTTCAATAATATCTCCCAAACAAAACTTTACCCGCCCACCGGTGAAGCCCGGGCGATTCATCACACGTGTCGGCATCGCGACATGTTCCAAGGGAGTCCGAGCATACTCGAGTACAGTCTCCCGGTACAAGTACCGTGATCCCCAGCTCGGCGCCGAGCAACGACCCGGCAACCAATCTCCCATCTTGTACTCGAGTACGGAGCCGTACCACCCGCTAATCACTCGCTCTTCTCACACACCCTCACGGATAATAGTTTCTCCTATAAATTCTACCTGGCCTTTGCACCAAGAAAGTACCGGTACGGCGCGGACATACGAGATAGAGCACGGTATTACAAAGTGAGCATTAATATCTCTTTCCCTCCATTAAGCCCTACCTTTACCGCATTGATAAACTACACTTCTGCTATAGGTAACCCCAATACTGCCAACGATCCCCCCCCTCCCTCCCCACTAATCCGCTCACAACTCAATTGACATGGTACAGTGCTCTGTGCTCTGTAGCACTAGATGGAACGTGGGACGTGTAGCACGGTAACAAATTTCGTTTTTCACTGACAAAAAAACAAACAAACATCGGCGCGGGGGCCGAGCAGGAGAAGGCTCTTAAACCCCGGGGAATCCCTTTCAGGAAAATCGGTGTGCGAAAAACGAATTGAGTTCCTTCCCCAAACGAACGGAACAACGCCCGCCGGGTCGCTGGTTGGACAGACAGCGAGGGGCAGTTGTTTGCTGGAACGTGGGCGGCGGGGAGAAGTGGGCTTGTTGGCGGGAAATCTACGGCGGGAATCCAACCAGAACAAAGGGTCCAGCAATCTTCTAACCAAGGAGGGAAGGAAGTGTACTTACTCATATGTAAGTGGAGGTGGGGAGGAAATCAAAGGCGCTGCGGGGGTTTGGTTGGAAATAAAGGGATTATAAAGATAAAAATAAAAATAAAAATAAAGAATTACCCTTTTGTGGAGGGGGTCGTGGTCTCTTGCGTTGTCCACCACACAAGGATTCGATAACGATAGGCTGTTTTTTTTTTCTCTCTCCTCTGCCGAGATCGTTCCGCGGGAGGAAGCACGGACAGACGGACAGACAGAAGACCGTCGGGGGGAAAGGAGCTTAGGAGAGGAGAGGAACCTTTTTTTCCACACGGAGACGCACAAAATTATAGGGAGAATGATCAGGCCGGCAACTTACAGAACGAGGTTCGTGATTCTGGCGTTTGTTGTGATTGTTTATTTCAACTACGTCATCTCGCCAGAATTCGGGAATGGTGGCTCCAGCTCCGAGCTGAACCGTCCCGGATCATCGCCATCAGAGCTCGGTATATTCAACGGCGGTGAAACGGGACAGAAGGAGGAGGAGGGCCCTCGATACGGGAACCCCATACAATTCGATTTCAAGGGTAGCGGTAGAGGTGCTGGGGACAGCAAGCGGGCCCACGAGATCAAGGAGACCATGAGCAGAACCTTTTGGAAGTATAGGCTTGGAGCTTGGGGCAGCGATGAAATTATGCCGATCAGTGGGAACGGGAAAACTACAAGGTGGGGGAACTTTTTTTCCCCCACGTTCTCTTTCCTGAAGCCGCCGGCGCCCATCCTGTTCTCGCGTTCGCGCCTCAGCTGGGCTGGGGTTTTCTCCCCTTCTTCTCCATTCCTTCTCCTTCTCCTTTGAAGCTCAAGCTAACCTTGCCCTTTGCAGGAATGGATGGGCAGCGACTATTGTGGATACTCTGACGACGACCGCCATGATGGGTCTTGAGGAGGAGTTTAAGCTTGTGCGTGATAGCCAAGGGCAAAGTGATAATGTGTGATGCTGATCTTCGGGTGGTATTTTTTTATAGGAATTAAATTTCACACTCGGAATCGATTTCAGTAAGGCTGAAGACCTTGTCGATCCCTTCGAGACAACTATACGGTGGGATCTACCCCCTCCCCTCCTCCCTCGATCCCTCCTGCTAGCTCTATACTGATATCTGATAGCTATCTCGGAGCTATTATTTCCACCGTGGAGCTCATTGATAACGGCGTTGTCCGCAGAAGACTTGTGTCTGAGCAGGAAAGGAATGCCCTGGTAGCTAAGGCTTTGGAGCTAGCTGATAAATTAGCGCCTGGTTTCGATTCTCCGTCTGGTATGATATGGCCCAGAATCAATTTCAGTACAAATAGAGGTTGCAGAGAAGATGGGAGAGAAGTGGGATTGCATAACCATCCCACAATTGGCCCTGCCCGGGCCGGAACCAATTGGCTGGAGAATAAAGTTCTTAGCAAGCTTACTGGAAATGATATATATGGGGAGAATGCAACACGTGCTTGGAAGTATACTTTGATTCCCCATCGTCCCTGAAGCTTGATAGGTTTATTAACCCTGTATTATTGTTGTTTCTCTCTCTTTTTTTTAGGAAGCTTGTCTGGAACGAGTAAGTGTAAAACTGGGTTCGGTATTCCGCCTTTTCTGACGATTCGGGATACAGGTACACAGAGGATTGGCCGGGGCTTGCCCAGTAAGTGCTCCAACGCTCTGTGCTTCCGGTGGGTAACCAGGCAGGTTTCTGACAAATACTTTTAGGTCTCCGCTTGACATCATGACCGGCAATCCTGTTGACAAAGATCGAAGTTGGGGTGGAGGGCACGACTCGTAAGGGAGCTTCCGAATGTCTTGGGAACCGATATTGTCGGCTGCTTACTGATACCGACCGTTGCCAATGATAGATATTACGAAGTTGACATCCTGTTGTTCCATTGGGCGGCTATTGGATAGGAGCTAACCTTTCGTCAATAGTATCTCATCAAGGCACAAATATTAGCGCCCAAGGACCGGTACGCAAATGTGTATAGAGAGAAGTGGGTGAAAGCTGTCGAGTCCACAGTTAAACATCTTGGCCAATGGTCGACCCCGGGAAGGGGTCGTCAAAAAGGAAATTTGTTCCTCGCTCAGTGGAAGAATGGGCTTTTAGTCAATGAGATGGGCCACCTCGCATGCTTCGCCGGCGGGAACTTCATATTAGGAGGGAAATACCTCGGTAGAAAAGACTTTGTACAATTTGGTCTGGACGTCGTCGACGGATGCCACGAGACCTACGTCAGCGCGATTACACGCATCGGACCTGAACTCTTCGCCTGGACACCGGCAGATAAGAGGATCGTTCCTGTGCTCCAACCCGAGCATGATGGGCAGCGGGAACAGAAAAGTAACGCAGGCTTTTGGGTCACGAACGCTAGGTATCTGCTGCGTCCCGAAACCGTGGAGTCATATTTCTACGCATACAGAGCGACAGGCAACCAGATGTACCAAGAATGGGCGTGGGATGCATACAAGTATGTCATTCCTATTTGTTGTGCGATGATTGGGGGGGGGCGATCTACTTTTGAGTGCTCGATTGACTTCCTGTTTCTTTCTCTCTTCCCACTTGTGCATTGCTCCCGATCCTCATATGGTGCAGTATACTAACTTGTGATGCCCCTCAACATAGGGCCTACATGAAGGCAACCGAGGTGGAGTTCGGATATGCTTCAGTTAAAGATGTCACTTTGCCTGAAGGAGGTGGTCTGACTGATGAAGCAGAGAGTTTCTGGGGAGGTACGTCTATCATTTCCCTTCCCTCCCCGATCTTTCTTCCCTTCAGGCACCCTTCCCGGATCTTCCCCCCAAGACCCCCCTCTATTTCTCCTCACGTGTGGTCTAGCCCGGTCAATCCCTATTCTTCTTTTTCCCCCTAACTTCACTATCGGTGAGGTCCAAATTATTCTCTCACTCATCCTCAACCTCTCACTCTCTTGCGACAAGTTGATTTTCGTCTGCACATGACCGCTTTCCCATGCTGATTATCGCCTCACTTGTCCCCGGGGCGCTGGGATTGGATGTTCCGTATTTCCAGCCGAGACATTGAAGTAAGCTACAATCCATTATCTCCACCTTTTTCTCCCCCCCTCCCTTCACGAAAAATGTGCTCGCTTGATTTTTTATTTTTTTATTTTCCATGCCATCCCCCTTCCCGCCGCTCTACACCCATCCACACACTCTTTACACAGCCTTCTCCGCAAGGGCCGGAAGGACAAGGGAAACGGAGGGGGGGGTTCCCCCCCTCTTCCCAGTATCTCCGCCCTTCAGCCGCAAAACATCATATTCAAAAGGGAAGAGGAGAAAGAAGCAAGGAGGCAGGCAGAAGGAAAAAGAAAAATGACAAGGCTAATTTTCCTGGGCGCGATTGCGCGCATACACCCACATGCACCAGATATCTCTATTTGACATTCACTAGTGAAGACGTTGGGAGCCTGGACGAATGGGTTTTCAGCACTGGTAAGCGCCCTTCTTATATTATATTATGATATCTATTGTTTTGTTAGGTGCTTTTTACTTCCTTTTCCTTTCTTCCCACAAACAAACAAAATTATTTTTGATCCGGTTTCCCCTGCCTTGCCTTGCCTGCCCTGCCCTGTCCACTGTTGGTGGAAAATGTTTACTCTGACACTTTCCATACCCACACACTGCACCAGTCCCCTCTCAACCTCCGAAATATAATTATTTTGCTACATGACTTTGGATCCCTTTTTTTTTCTTTTTCCTAGCACCCGACCCATCCATCCATCCATCTTGCCTCTTGTTCGTCCGTTCGCCTCCACTTGTTTCGTTCGTCCCTCATGTCACGCCTTACCTCCCGGCAGTTCCGTGTAGCAAAATGCGAGAACGGGGAGAATTGCTTTTTTTTCCTCCCTCCCCTTCTCTTCCCTACTCGCTCACTCAGCTCCCTGGGTTGGTTTTCGATATTACAAGTATCATATTGCGGTTTGCGAAAACCTTGATAAAGAAACCGGGCTTGGGAAAAAACCGCACGTCTTGAATACTCTCAAACGGACTGGGACACCAACCTGCCGGTTTTCTCGTCAAAGCGAGTTCTCAGGCAGCCTTGATAGTCTACCCAAAGGAAACTCTTGTTTTCTTTTTGGCACGTTTCGAGATATCCCGAGATGCTTTTTTTTTCTCAAGCCCAGTTTTTTTATGAAGGTTTCCGTAATCGCAATATACCGATCATGAAGTATCATTTACCTTACCTCACCCCTACAGCGCCATCCATCCACCTACCTACCCATCCCACCCACCATCAATTCCAAATAAGCCATGGCTCACTCACCACCCCTCCCCATGTTTCGCACCGACGCCTCATCTCCCTTCCCGCTCTCCCCCTCTTTCTTTCCTCCCTCCCCCCCCCCCCTTAGACACATACGTTCATATATATCGTACCAGTACATACACACACATACCGTACATTATTGAATTCGGGAAGATAGGGGGTTGACCGATGATACCTATTTTTTGTTTTTTGCTTATTTGTTCTGCGTTTTTTCCCCACTTTTTTTTCCCTTTTTTTCTTTTTTCGCGGATGTCGCTTTGTTTCCTTTTTCTGCTTTGCAGAATGGAAGGAGGAAGGAAGGAAGAAACCAAACCCCTGACGCGTGATAGAAGCACATCCGTTCCGAATAATGCGGTGATTTGATGGAGGAGGGGGGGAGGGTTGGTTGGTTGGTTGGCGTATGATACCACACAAGATGGATACAGGAACTGATTACGACCGACTAACCCCACTATGACGAGGGGGTTGCCCGTACCGTAGCTCAGGTAAGTGATTAAGGGAGTAATATCAGAACTTTATGCTACGGTGCCGGAAGATCTGTCAACGGACGGTGGAACGGGGAGGGGG